AGGCCCCACGACCGGACCCAAAAAAAAAAAAAAGAAGCTGATATGACAGAAAGTAGGGTTACAAGTATGCTAGTCAGACTAGAGCTTACAACAACATACCAGAAACAGAAATCTGGAGAACAGGAAGGCAGCTATCCAAAAACAGAAGAAAAGAACACTTCAGACACAATCACAACACAAAGTTGTATAAGAACATTATGTTCTTATGACAGGCTGGGGAGGTGGCTCCATGGTAGAGTGCTTGCCTTCCATGCATGAGGCCCTGGGTTTGATTCCTGAGCACCACATAAGCTGAAAAAGTCAGAAGTGGCGCTGTGGCTCAAGTGGTAGCATGTTAGCCTTGAGCTGAAGAGCTGAGGGACAGCACCCAGGCTAAGAGTTCAGGCACCCCAACAGACCAAAAAATAAAAAATAAAAGAATTGTGTTGGCAAAATCAAAAAAGGCTAAAGGTAAAGATCACAAGAGTTTAAATATAGCTGATTTCAATTCTTTTATTTTTGAACATGATAGATATTTAATGTGGCCTCAAGATCAGAACATCAAACCTTCTAAGTGTAGATAAAGACTATTAGATTCTATGATCAATACCATCAAAAAAAAACTGTAAATGACATGCTCTAAATTTTATTGACTGTGTCCATCAGTGTCAGTACCTGTGTAAGGAGAATTACATTTCTGGTTCTGTGTGAGAGGGGTGTATTACCAACATGAAACGTTAACGCTTATTTCAAATTTCAAACTAATGTTTTCAGAACTGGAATTTCTTTTTTTTATGCTTAGATTTCCTATTTTTTTATTGTGAAACTACTGTACAGAGGGGTTACAATTACATGGGCAAGATAATGAGCACATTTCTTATCAAGCATTGTAGCCTCCTCCTTTGTTTCCCCTTCCCATCCCTTTCCATCCTCTCCACTGGAATTTCTTTTTTTTAACAAACATTTTTTATTGTAGATACTGTATAGAAGGGTTAGTTACATGAGCAAGGTAATGAGTACATTTCCTATCAAGCATTGTTATCCCCTCCTTTGTTTTTCCCCTACCATCCCTTCCCTCCCCATCTCCCCAATTCCTCCCACACCTCCCTCCCCGCCCCAAGTTGTAAAGTTCATTTCCAACATAGTATCTTGTACATGTCATTGTTACAATGGGTCAACCTCTATTCTTATTTCAGCATTTTGTTATTTCCCTTTCCCTCCCCATATCAGAAAAATGTATAAACATGATATAGGGCACGGGAATCAACTATAGTGAAAACATGGGTTATACCATGGGGGAAGAATATACAAAAGAAACCAAAAAGAAAAATCACATAGTACATTATAAGTACATTAAAAACAACAGCAACAAAGATAAAATCTCTTGTGTCCCTATCTTGGGGTTCATTTCTCTTAGCATCATCTTATATGGTCATATGCACATAGCTTTTGACCTTTTCTGCTTGTCCTCAACTTATACTAGTTATTGTAGATAAGGGAAACCATGGGACCTATGTTTCTTTAGGCCTGGCTTACTTCACTTAATATAATTTTTTCCAAGCCTTTCCATTTCTTAACAAATGGGGTGGTGTCATTCTTTCTGATGAAGGCATGGAATTCCAATATATATATAATCTACTAAGGGGCATCTGGGTTGATTCCATATCTTAGCTATGGTGAATAATGCTGTGATTAACAAAGTTGTGCTGGTAGCTTTAGTATGGCCTTGTTTGTGATCATTTGGGTAAATACCCACAGAACTGGAATTTTTATCTTTCCAAATTAAAACTTTTTGTTGTTGTTTTAGACTTCATGAAGTATTGCTAGCAGGAGCCAGTCTGACATGTCAGACTGATTAGAGGTGTGCAACCTGATTAAAACCAAACCCTAAACCATTTTAAAGAAAAATAAAACATTTTAAATGATAAAAAATAAAAAATAGTTGATTACTTGGGCAGGTACTGAGTTTTCTTGTTTTTGACTTGCTATTTCTCCTTACATTACTTTCAATAAAGTCTAATTACTTCTAGGTATTTTTAACTATTATTTCTAATTTTATTGGCTTAGAATAACCAAACTACTGAAATTCTGGATTTTTTTTTTTGGGGTCCAGTCGTGGGCCTGAACTCTGGGCCTGGGTGCTGTCCCTCAGCTCTTCAGCTCAAGGCTAGCGCTCTACCACCTGAACCACAGCGCCACTTCTGGCTTTTTTCTTTTTGCTTATGTGGTGCTGAGGAATCGAACCCAGGGCCTCAGGCATGTAAGGCAAGCGCTCTACCACTGAGCCACCTTCCTAGCCCCTCTACTAGATTCTTTAATTTTGCTTATTTCCCAAAGCTGTGTAAATATTAGTCTGAAACAAATGCTAGAAAGCAAGAACTTAATTATTTCACAGCACTCATCATTCAAAACAAAGCATCTGGTCTAGCTGATTTTAGTGAAAAGATTACAGGTTCTAACATGCAGAAAGTTATTTTGCTGGGCTGGGAAGGTGGCTCAGTGGTAGAGTGCTTGCCTTGCATGCATGAGGCCCTGGGTTCGATTCCTCAGCACCACATAAGCAGAAAAAAAAAGCCGGAAGTGGCGCTGTGGCTCAAGTGGTAGAGTGCTAGCCTTGAGCTGAAGGGCTGAGGGACAGCGCCCAGGCCCTGAGTTCAGGCCCCACGACCGGACCAAAAAAAAAAAGTTATTTTGCTCATGTACAAAGTTCATTATTCTCTACCACAGGATATTCAGAAAGAACCAATGACAGTAACCTAATAGCTTTTCCTATCTCCATCCTAGTATGGTCTAAAGAGAAGACAAAAACAGTAAAGTTAATGGATATGTAACAGGAATTTACAGGAATCTGTAGAGTAATGGATATTCTGAAATGATTTGATAAATGTGAAAATTTCATAATTGAGTTTCTTCTAGACAGAATAGTTTGCAAAGTTCTGCAAGAGAAAAAGCTTTGCATATAGAACTAGAAATGACAATTCAATCTGAATAAAGATGTTACTTGGTCATGATTGCTATTTATTTTCTATCCCTACCTTCCCAATTTAAGACGCTAATATAGTACAGTTCATTGTTTGTCTTCTATTAAAATATTATGAGTAACATGACACATAGAAATTGGTATGTTAGTTCCTTGATTTTTGACTCCTTTATGAAAAAAGTAAGAAACCTTACAACCATTCTTACCAATTCAAGAAAATAAAGAATGTATCTTCCTTAGTACTACTCTGTATTCTTTTAACTCCTCAGACTCTTCAATATCACACAGGTAGCCAGACAGCAAGAGTTAGGCCTGATCATCTCTGGATGATCAGAACAGTATTCTGTCTCAACAAAGGGCCTACTCTGAACCTGGAGCTGGAGTATGGGTCAGTGGTAGTAAACATAATTGGCATGAAAGAGGCCCTGGATCCAATCTCCAGCACCAAAATATAAAATATAGATAGTATTCCTGCTGGTAAGATTGTGCTTTTTAAAAATCATACATTCAGCCGGGTGCTGGTGGCTCACACCTGTAATCCTAGCTACTCAGGAGGCTGAGATCTCAGGATCGAGGTTCAAAGCCAGCCCGGGCAGGAGAGACCGTGAGACTCCTATCTCCAATAAAACCACCAGAAAACCAGAAGTGGCACTGTAGCTCAAGTGGTAGAGAGCTCGCCTTGAGCTGAAGAGCTGAGGGACAGTGCCCAGGCCCAGAGTTCAAGCCCCACGGCCGACCAAAAAAAAAAAAAGAAAATCATTGTCAAGTCTCTTTTTCCTAGTATATTTTCTTCACCAAATACAAATGCTATAAGAATTAATCCACAGCATCAAAAAAATAAAAAGGATTTTTATAAAAATCTGGACCTCAACAGACATCAAACAGACTGGCTTTTGATTCTCAGATCTCAGCCTCCAGAGTAGCTAGGATTACAGGCATGAGCCTCCAGGACCCTGTACCTATGGATTTTTTTCTCTCTAAGGCCCATCTTTTCTTTTAAATTTTGCTTTTTAGTTACTTCATCTTTTCTGTAGTATGAGATAATGATCCACTTTTATTTGCATCTATATAATAATTCTATTTTCTGCACAAAATCAGCTAAACAACTTGACTCTTCCCCAACTGACTTTCAAGAGAATGAATTTCATTCCCAATAAAATATCTAAGCGGAGGAAGAGGAAAAGAAGTTAAAGAGTAAGAAATAGAAAGGAAAAAGAAACAGTTACATATAATACAAGCATAAGAACTTAGCTAGGGAAAGGCTAAGAAAAAAATGAAGCTACTGGAAAATTCCTATGCATCATGTCATATTTACTCAAATATGCAAGAATTAAATGGCAGCCAGGTAGGGTGATATACAACTGCAATCCCTGTACTAGTAAAAGTGAAATGAGAAGATTAAGAGTTTAAGAATAGTGTGGCCACACTGGGGAAGACTCTGTCAAAGAAGAAAGAAGATGAAGATCGAAAAAGGGAGCAAGGAGGAAAAATATAATGGAGAGAGCATGTTCAAAGTACACTGTAAGCATCTACAGAATTATCACAATAAAATCCCTCTGTACTATTAATGTATGCCAATAAAAAAGGAAGAAAAAGAAGTAGTAGTAATAAGTAACAAAGGATAACTAAAACCTATTTTTTATTGTCTAGCTCTGATACTTCGGGGAATACCTATTTAACATAATACCACAAAGCTTCCAGAGTTTAGACCATCTTCTGTTAAGCAGTAAGTTGGACTGTATTTCACTTAGCATTTGTCCTTCTAGACTCAACAAAAATGAGAGGAGAGCAAACATTATAAGTATCATACAACTATTTAACAACTTTCATTTTTCCCTGAAAATGGAATTTTCAGGTGACTCTAAACATACTACTTTCTATTATTTCAGCACTTCTACCAGATTTTTCATACACGAATTTACTGAATTCAAAGCTCCAGCCCATTACTGACAGTGATGCAGATAATGTGAACTATTCTCCACAAGAACCTTCTTAAAACATACCTTTTACTTTCTGCCAAGTTGGCTCCTTCTTCCTTCAGCTGCTTACTTTTCTCAGCACAGTCTTCCTGGAGAATTTCTCTCCTACGTTTAGTGGCATGGAGCCAATTCCCGTCATCATTCTCAACCCCATCCTTCTCATCAGCAGCCTCAGCTTCAAACTGCTGGGATGTGGCCTTCGACACCTTCTCACCAATCTTCCTCTTCCACCCAAAGGAAGCCATTCTGGGGGGAAAAAAAATCACACACACACACACACACAAAAAAAAAAAAACAGCTTTAATATTCAAACGTGGCCAATAAAAGATAAAATAAATAAAAGATAAAAAGATGAAACTGTCACCATTTTTAATACGTGGACCTAGGCAATAATTAAGAACTGCTAAAAGTCACAAAGAAAGATGACTGGATGTTACATCATTGTACTCCCTAATGAAAACAGTATGCCACCCTTTAAGCATTCTTGCAAAGACTAATTCTGAATCAGATTCAACTTCTGCCAATTTATAAGAAATATGGGACCAGAAGCCAAAGACTCAGGCCTATAATCTAAGCTACTCACAGGCTGAGATCTGAGATGGGGTTCAAAGTCAGTTCAGGCAGACAAATTTGAGATTCTTATTTCTAATTAATCAAAAAAAGCTGGAAGTGGAGGTGTAGCCTAAGTGTATTTATAAAAGGAAACCATATCTTTCAAAAATACATATTATTACCTTATAAAATCTTCAGCTTATAAAAATATTTCACATGAAATTATGTGTCAAGAATCATTTCAAAAAATAAACAGGGGTGAGGAATGCAGGGAAAAATGTGAAATAAAATTGTTCTGAAAGGCTAACTGATGAAGACAGATGTCAATACATAGGATTCATTGTTCATTTCTCTTTTCATGACAATGTCATGCCCTAGTACTGGCACAAAAAGAAAGAAAAGAAAAATTGCTAAATCATTTGGCAGGCTTATCAGGTAAATTTTTAAAAATAACAGATGTTAAATTGTTTTGTGAATCTACAATGATATACAAATATAAGGGATGAAAAAAGACAGACTAAATAAATGCTGAAAGTATTTAACAAATATTTAATTAGGGAAAGATCTGAAAAATTCAACAATATCTTAGTTGCACAGCTGGGAATCAAGATACTTAGGAATCTCTAGTGAGTAAATATTTTAAATACTGTGTGCGTTCTGGAGAAGAGTGTCTACCCCTTCATTCCATTCTTAAAGGAATCTGTAATCCCAAAGACATGATCAAGTGACAAGCTAGAGCACTGGGAAAAACAAATGAAATAGAGAATAAATCCTAGCAGATACCAAAGTCCTTACCACTGAAATATAGCTGAAATAAAGCGTAAGTAATCACGTAAAGAAAGAGGAACAAGCCAGGAGATGGTGGTGCCTGCCTCCTAGCTACTCAGGAGGCTGAGATGTGAGGATCCTAATTCAAAGCCAGAGTAGGCAGGAAAGTCCCTCAGGCTCTTATTTCCAATCAACCACCAGAAAACCGGAAGTGGCACTGTGGCTCAAGTGGTAGAGTGTTAGCCGTAAGCAAAAAAGCTCAGGGACAGCACCCAGGCCCTGAGTTCAAGCCCCATAATTGACCCAAAAAAAGGAGGAGCAACAAAAGTTGAGGAATGCTGTAATTGGCTTGTCAAAGCTCAACATAATGGCAAAAATCTAGAGGTATAAAAATTATGTATCATGGATCTAAATTCTTAATAAATCTGATAAAACCAATAACTCACAACAAAAAATGTACTGTATAGGTCAACCACATACTTCCCAAAGAAGTAAAAATTTTGAGAAAAATTTGAAGAAACAATATAAACTACACTAAGAAATTTAAATGATGAAAACTTTCTACATAGACTCAATACAGAGAACAAATTTCTTCTGTTAGAAAATGACTTCTTTATTCTAAGGCAAGAACCAAGAAATGACTAAAAACCAGTGTACTAAGAAAAACAAGTCCAGAGACAGAGAGAGGTCAAACTGGGAGAAGGCATTAGCAGGATAAGAAAGATTAAAAAGTGTCCTTATATTTGATTGTCTCTATAGGTAAAAAGAATTATGATTACAATTTTCTGGATTCAAGTTTCGAAATGAAGCTATGTTTCTTTACTAGCAATGTGTGATACCAAAGCAAAACTCTAATACTAAAAGAAATCTGATGCATTCACAAGGGAAAAACTGTCAAAGTTCAAGTATGGTGAAATATGTCCACATGAAACTGATCCTGAGTGTGAGGCCACACACGATCTACAGAGCAAGTTCCGTGCTAAACTGGGTTAAATAGTAAGACTCGAAAGAATGAAAAATATAAACAATTATTGACTTTGCTGATTATTAGTAACAGGAGATAAGGTGTGTGTGAAAGGAAAAAAAAAGACCAAATGTATTATTTTTATTTAATAGGTCATTCAGATTCCCACTATCCTCCCCATCTTCCAGATAAAACCAACTGTAACTGTTGAAAACAGGTATAAGCTAAGGCTCCCAGTGCCTGTCTCAGTCATGTATGAAAAAAGCCTGCAAGGCCTGTTGCTTCATGCTTACATCATTCTCACCCACATTTCTTGAAACTGGAAACTGTAATAGATCATGAAAGAATGAACGCATAAGGGTATGAAGACCTGATATCACAAGAAATAGACAACTGTAGCCTTGGGAAGAGTCAAGAATACATTCCTTTTATCTTGCCCATGTGGTTGCAACCCCTTTGTATGGTATTTTCACAATAAATAAAAAAAAAATACATTCCTTGCTGACATTAAATGGAGGCAATATTACCTGAGAGATGGGAAATAAAACATGGTAACGGATTTCATACCCTAAGCTTCACATTAATCAGAACAATTGGAGGTAATCATCTGTTCAAAGTGCAGGAAAAACATGACTGGGAATGGAGCTCATTGGTAAAGGACTTGCCTAGTATGTTCAAGACCTCAAGTTTGAATCTTAGAAACCCACACACACACAAAGGGCATACTAAATAGCACAGAAAGGACTGTGTTCCATGTACTCAGGAGGGAAAAGCATGAGAAGCATGAGGTCAGAATTCCCAGGTCAATACTTAGCTAGGTCAATGCCAACTGGCCTGTAGTGCTCCCATCTCCCCGTAAAAAAGAATTCGTTTATTGTTCCTCTAAGGCTACCTCAACAAATAATTACAACTTCTTAGAGAACAGGCTGTCCTAAACCTACAGCTAGATGCATAAGATACCAACATTTTTCGTCAAGACAAGGATGGATATAAGGGCTGGGAATGCGGCTTAGTGGCAGAGTGCTTGCCTGGCATGTATGAAGCCCTGGGTTCGATTCCTCAGTACTACATAAACAGAAAAAGCCAGAAGTGGCACCGTAGCTCAAACGGTAAGAATGCTAGCTTTGAGCAAAAGAAGCTCAGGGACAGAGCTCAGGCCCTGAGTTCAAGCCCTTGGACTGGCAAAAAAGAAAAAAGAAAAGAAAAAGAAACGATGTAAGTAAATTACTATCATTCAGGGTCTATGTTGAGCTTAGACAAAAACAGATTTGACATTATTTTATACAGAATTACATTTGACAAATGGCATAACATTTTTTTCAACAACGACATCGTATTCTAAATTCTAAATCCCGGTTCTCATTCAATCATCCATACAGTAATAAGAGCTTGATAAAATTACTGTCTCGACATCCTACCTCACCATGGCTGTCTTGCGCATAACTGTGGCTGAGCAAAGTGTCATGCATACTGGACTAAGTCCAAGAACTTGGGTCTCAATAGGAAAATCCTGTGTGGCCACAGATAATGACAACCACAACCTTCCAGGTAAACATATAGACTGGGATCAAAAAATTTCAAGAAAGGATTTACCCTCCCCCCTCAAAAAAAATATCATCACGTGGGGGGATGGGGAGGAAGAGGGTAGAGGAGGAAAAGAGGAGAGGAAGGGAGAAGGGAGGAAGAGAAGGATGGGCGGACCGGGAGAGACAGAGGGAGAGAAATCCGCTCCCTTCCCTTCACTGCCAGACAATAAGAAGAACGTCCATCAGGACGAACTCACAAAGGCAGTGCAGGCCGAGACGAGCGAGGTCAGACCCGGGCTCCAGACGCCTTCCACGCGCGCACACGCACGCACACACAGACCAGACGCTCCCCCCACCGCCCCGAGGTCCCCCAGACGGTCCCCCCCACCCTGAGGTACCCCCCCACCCCGGGGTCCCCAGGCGGTCCCCACCCAAGGTACCCCAGACGGCCCCCCCCGCCCCGGGGTCCCCCAGACGGCCCCCCCGCCCCGGGGTCCCCCAGATGCCCCCCCACCCCGAGACAGCCCCCCCGCCCCGAGGTCCCCCAGACGGTCCCCCCCGAGGTCCCCCGTACCCCGGAGTCCCCCAGACGGCTCCCCCAGGCCCTCCAGAAGCGCCCTTCGAGACCCGTGGAAAAGAAGCTGGGCTGCAGCCCCAGCCCGGAAAAGGTCGAGGCCGGGCGCCCGCCTCCACGCGAGACGGCTCGCGGCCCCGACACCAACCTCGGCCCCCTGCTCGGCCAGACTTCGCGGAAGCTCCTCCGCAGCTAATTCACGCACTCACCCCGCTCGATTTCCGCTTCTCCCTTCCGCGCACCCACAGCCCCCGGTTACCTGACACCAGTCCGTGGCCCGGTGTTTACATTCCGCTTGCCCTTTGCCACCGGAAGCGGAAGTTGTCGCATCCGTGTTCCCGCCTACTTTGTTCCATCCCTTTGCGCCCTGGCCTTGGCTCCAAGAAATAGATGGGAACACCTGGAGAGGCCCGAGTTATCCAAGGAAGCGAAAGAGGGACAGCAATGGCTTTGGTGTGCCTGTATCTTCTCCGGGACCTCACAGCCCAGCAGCCGCCGCCGTGCGCCCACACCGCGTTGTCTTCTGGGATTTGTAGTACATCCCGGACTCGGAGCGCTTTCCAGAAGTAGCTGGAAATGTTGGGGGGCCTTAGGTGAAGGGGTGGGGAAACGAGACTGGTGGGCATGGAGCAGCGTTCCTAACAAATGTAAACGTCTGACAGTCCCCTAGTTAAGCAAGATCAGGGGTAAAGGATTAGATAGGACCTGCCCTCAAAGGGCTTTGGGACCTAACATAAAAGCTAAAGCCAGCCAAGTGCAGCAAAGGACAGAGGAAAATCTGGATTGAGAAAAGATTTGAGGGCTAATCAGAGAGCATAACAGCTGACCTATAGGCTTTTCCTGGGACTTAATAACAAAGCTGGCACATAGGAAAACAGAATAATACAACACTTGTAAATCGTTCGCAAAAAGGGAGGAGAGGGAATGTGAATTTAATCAAAGTGCATATATATATATATATATGAAACCCCTTTATATAATTGATATATACTAATATAAAAAGTAAAAGAGGTGGGGAAACTAAGAACCCACAAGAGAAAATTACAGCATGAGAGCAGCAGCTGGTTATCTCTTGAAAATAATTAAATGAACAAATGTTTCAGAAACTGAAAAACTATTCATGTATTCATAATATACTATCTGATTGCTATTCACTGGCAGAAATTTTCTCCTATTGCCTGGCCTCAGTCCCTCCTGATGTTGGAAATTTACTCTCTCCTCTGAACCCCCTTTTCCCTGGGAAAAGAATATCCATGGGAACAAAACTGTGAAATCAGAAAACAGAAAAAAAATATTGATAAAGGGCAAACACCTCTTGGTAAAGAAAAACCCCAGCCTTTGTCCCTTCTCCACCCTTGCTTAAAAGCAAAAGAACATCTTCTCTCACTCAAGTTTACCAAGCTGGCAGCTATGCAGAAGGCTACTGACAACCTTGAGGCTTATCACCAGCTGCACCGAGTGGCTGTATTAGTCAGGGGCTTATAATAAAAATAATTTCTGGGCTTGCCTTGCATGCTCGAGGCCCTGGGTTCGATTCCTCAGCACCACATAAGCAAAAAGAAAAAAAAGCTGGAAGTGGTGCTGTGGTTCAAGTGGTAGAGCACTAGCCTTGAGCTGAAGGGCTGAGGGATAGCGCCCAGGCCCAGAGTTCAGGCCCCACGACTGGACCCAAAAAATAATAATAGTAATTTCTGTAACAGTGTCAATAGCATTGAGAGTATCGGTCATGCTGATCAAGTCAAGATTATGTTTTGCCTATGCTCCTGTGACTCAAGGCTATGTTTTTGCTGTTTTGCTTCTGTAACCTTGTTTGCTTGCCTCAGTAACAGGGCCTTAAGCCCACCAGTTGAAGACCACCACTGAGTGGTCTCACTATGGGCGGCCTATTGCAAATTATTACATATGATATTTACCATAAAGAACAAATTAATTTGAAGGTCATATAGCTATAACCAATGAAAATGTATCAAACCTGCCTTACATGGCTCATCTATGTTACTATGTAACCTACCCCTATAAAAACCCACCCTACCCTAAGCTCAAGGCCATTCTCCTACTTTCCCAGTAGTAGGAAGCGGTCACTGCACAGTGGTAATAAAGTTCCTAGTACCTTTAACTGGGTGTCTTGGAGTCTCTTTTGGATCCAGGATATAATAATACAGCTATACTGTGCAAAGGAAGATCCATTTTTTTTTTGGAGACTAGACTTTATCGTCTTCAGCACTAAAACTGGATAATTCTTTGTTTAAACTAAGTGCCATTAGACTCCATGATAACCACCACCAGTAAAGATGACCAAATTGTTTCCCCAAAAATTATTGCCTGGGAAAAAAATGGCCCCTTCTCTTCTTTTTTCCTCCCTGCCCACAATAGTCCCTGCCGAGTAGGCGCAGAGGGAATTCCTCCCCAGGCTCTGTGGTCACTTCTCCTCCCCACCATCCCCTATATAACCTCAATCCCTCCATGAGTTGGCCCTCTTAGAGATGTGCCTCCATCTCCTGTGGGCTGGTAGTTGAGTTACCCCAAATAAACTTCTCTGTCCAACCGTGTGGCAGTCTCCTTTCCATGAACATTACAATTATGAGGCAGGACCAATTAGGAAAAAATGAGGCCTGATGAAGGCAGCTCAAGGACAAGGTAGCTAAAAACACAGAAGCATACTATATGTGCTTCAAAGAGAGACAACAGGATACATTCCTTCCTGAGAGATGCATTTCTCACCCCAAGAATTAAACTTTGCTTGGCAGGATGTATCCCTTCTTGAGAGAAATGCTCCCTGAAAGTAATGAAAGACCCAAAACATAAACAACCAGAATAGTAGACAAGAGCCAGGAATTTAGTATAATACCACCAAGTGTGATTGAGAGCAAAGATAACCTATCTTTGCATACCATTAAGTCAGAAAACCTGCGTGTATCATAAAAATACCCCTGATGTCAGAAGGCTAGTGTTTCTATCCTTTGAGGGCTCCCAGACTCTGTTAGAATGTACCTCCTCTTCTCTGCCTGTTTGTCTGCATGCCTACCTTCCAGTTTGCTCTATTTGCTTATTCATAAAGCTCTGCTAAGTTTTCTTACCATTGTGACTTATCCAGAAATTGTCATTCTGAGATCAAAGTCAAGGACCCTAAAATTCCCTACCTTTAAAAGGGAACTCCAGGGGCTGGGAAGGTGGCTCAGTGGTAGAGCGCTTGCCTTCCATGCCCGAGGCCCTGGGTTCAATTCCTCAGCACAACATAAGCAAAAAGAAAAAAAAAAGCTGGAAGTGGTGCTGTGGCTCAAGTGGTAGAGCGCTAGCCTTGAGCTGAAGAGTTGAGGGACAGGGCCTAGGCCCAGAGTTCAGGCCCCACGACCGGACCCAAAAAAATAATAATAAAATAAAATAAATAAAAGGGAACTCCACTAACCTGCACCTGCATCCAATGACAGAACTACATCAAATTAAAACAGTTCAGCACAGTGGGGGGAAAAAACTTTACCAAGACAATCCACAGAATGGGAGAAAATATTCACCAGGCATTCAATAGAATACATAAAGAGTTGGAAAAAACTAAACAGCACAAGAGCAATCCAATTAATAATGAGTAAATGGGCAAGTGAGTCAGCTAGTTCTCAGAAGAAATACAGAGGACTATATATATGAAGTAATGAAAGTAAGTCACTTCTCATAATAGTGGCATATGACACTACAGTCATGCTTGTCTGAATAGAAATGCTTTCACATGGCCACACTTACTGTAAAACCAATGAAAATGCATTAAGCCAAATGTGTATGATTGGTGGGCTTCTCTGTTATGCCTCTATGCAAGTGTATGTATGTCCTCAACAAGAGGCTTGGAGGATGTCGCATGGCCATGTTTGTAGGATGCACTTCCCAGCAGCCTCTGGGACAATAGTGACAGAGTAGTGGTTGAGTCTATGGGTGGTTGGGTCTTTCCTAGATTTGTCAAGTAACTTAAACTTTATCCCCTCTACTCTGGTTAAGACTTCTTCCCAGGGTTTTCACACTTCACCAATACTTCTTACTTTGGTCTGATTAACTTCATTCATTCTCTATGTTGTTGATTTTATTAATTTCATACATTCCCTATGTTATTTTTTATACACAACACCTTTATATTTTGTTTTGGTTTTGTCGTGGGGCTTAAACTCTGACCCTAAGGTCTTCAGCGCAAGGCTAGTTGCTCCACCACTTGAGCCACAGTGCCACTGTTGGTTTTCTGGTGGTTTATTGGAGAGAAGAATCTCACAGACTTTCCTGCCCAGGCTGGCTTTGAACCGTGATCCTCAGTTCTCAGCCTCCTTAGAAGTCAGGATTACAAGCCGGGCGCTGGTGGCTCACACCTGTAATCCTAGCTACTCAGGAGGCTGAGATCTGAGGATAGCGGTTCAAAGCCAGCCCGGGCAGGAGAGACCGTGAGACTCCTATCTCCAATAAACCACCAGAAAACCGGAAGTGGCGTTGTAGCTCAAGTGGTAGACCTCTGGCCTTGAGCTGAAGAGCTGAGGGACAGCGCCCAGGCCCAGAGTTCAAGCCCCATGACTGACAAAAAAAAAAAAGAAGTTAGGATTACAGGTGTGAGCTACTGGCACCTGGCTCACAAACATCTTTTGAATTAAAAAAAAAATCCTCTAAGGAGCTGGGAGTGTGGCTCAGTGGTAGAGTATTTGCCTCACATGCACGAAGCCCTGAGTACTGATTCCTCAGTACCATATAAACAGAAAAAGCAGGAAGTGGTACTATGGCTCAAGTGGTAGAGTGCTAGTCTTGAGTAAAAGAGTTCAAGGAAAGCACTTAGGCTTTGAGTTCAAGCCCTAGGACTGGAAAAAAATCCTTTAAAATTAATGTTAGTATTAACATTTACAAAAGTTCATTCACTTGAAGTAATAACAGCTTAATACTTTTCAAACAAGATGTTTATACAAATTTACAAATACCTAGAGCAGTTAAGCTCCCTAAAAAAACCTTAAGGCTCCAACACTATTATTTTAAATATTTAGAATGCCAACAGTCTAACAAAAGCCCTGTGAACAGACAAAAGGCTTCATGGTACTCTAATAGTACTGAGATGCTAACCAAATCCAATACTAGCTACTTACTAAAAGTGGTGGTTTAGTGCCCACGTGTCGCAGGACCCCCACCAAGAAGACCAAGGAGAGTCAGACGTTCCGAAATGCAAAAGCAAGGTTTTATTTAGACAGGCTGCATCTTGGGCCTTGTCTGACACTCCGACACAGTGAGCCTAGGAGGAGAGCCCTGAGCTAAAGATTTGCAGGGTTTATAAAGGCACACTACCAGGT